CATGCATGCATACATCCATACACCCATACATCCATACATCCATACATCCATACGTCCATACATCCATACATCCATCCATCCATACATACATACCTACCTACATACCTACATACCTACATACCTACATACCTACATACCTACATACCTACATACCAACATACCAACATACCAACATACCACCACCACAGGCCACAGGGGGGGGGGACCAGAAGAACCAGACGATACTGTCCACCCATACCCATTGGTGGGGGGGGGGGGGGGGCTGGCCAACGCTGCACCATATATAAATGGCCATTTTCAATGGCTATGTTAAATTACCAGAGGGTATACAATTATATACATATACAACTAACCAACCATATGTGATACAAATGGGTCTGGAAATCGGGGGTCTACCTGGCAATATGCCAGAAGAGACTGGCAGTCAATGACCACTCTGGTAGACACCAATGCCCCAACAATCATCGGTTTCCAAAACCACAAATAATTATCGGGCTGTCTGAAAATAAAGGTTCCGAATAAAAAAATCAGCGTTGACCATCATCTTCCCCATTCAAACAACCATTTTGGGGTATCTACACGAAGGACGTGGCCTCATCAATTGGAAGTATCGTCATTTTGCCAAAATAACCATACATGGCCAGTAAATTCGGAAACAACCCATTTGAAGAAAAAAAATCAATTCGCCTGCAGAAACCATCCTCCAACCGTGCATTTTGTCCTTGGCCACACTCAGCGCACGATTCAGCGTCAGAGTGTGTTGCAGGCCGCCACTAAAACCACTCAGAGTTTATCAGATTTTGATGGACACATGCATCCCTGATGTACATCACATGCCAGAAATCCTTCACACTGCCAAAGAACTGTGAGTATAGATTCAAGCTCATGATCCTGCTCGCTGGTTGCAATTACGGTCGGACCCATATTCTCTGGCTATTTAACATAGCTATAGAACATCACGAGCTTTAATAGGTAGATCATCATAAAACATGTATAAATGGGTCATTTTCCATAGCTATGTTTAAATAACCAGAGGGTATATTGTATGCATGTTTTTTCTTTAACACACACATCAGTTTGCCTGAAAATAGGCTACCGCAGAAACCAGTATGTTAATCATCGCTGGATGAATAAATCCCCTCCAGTGTGTCAAGTTCGTCCCCTCCAAAATTGGTTGCACATTTGCAACTTCAATCAGAAAAATGTGTGTGTATTTACATATGTGAACAATATGTAGAGTGATTATATATATATATAACTGTATACTTGCATTTATACAGAGTGTATACCGTATACGCAAATTAAGGTAAACAAAAAAGTTTAGGATAATATACAATATACATGTACCAGTATATGAACCGATGCGCAATAAAGTTTGCGTATTTGTACATATATATAAATATATATATATATGAATTAATACACACATGATTCAAGTACCAAAAGCACAAATATCCCTCGTCCTCGTCCTTTTAAGGACTCTGACTCCAACAGACTCCAACACCCTGCCAGCTTCTCCACCCCGTCCCTTTCGACGTGCAGGGAACGGTTTTGGCTCGGTGCAGCGGGCGGGGATCCCCAAGTCACCATGGCTTCCAATACTAAGTCATCAGGTCATCCATGACTTGGATGATTTGGGCCAATTTGGGGCCACCTTCATTTTAGGACACCTCTATTTCAGTTGAGACATAACAATTCTTGTTCAGTCATTTCCATCGCCAAAAGGTCCCAAGTCACCCCTTGCCCATCACCGCACGATGGTCCGCACGACAGTGGGCCCGGGCGGTCCTTGACGCCCAGGCACCAAAAAAACTGCAACTGGGATGTGTCCCCAAAGTGAATGTAAAAAAACACTGATCACATCTGATCACCAAAAGGATATCTACAAAGGAACTGCACACAAATAACATACATGTACTTTATTCATATCTATATATGGGTTCACAACGGTTTGGGTGCTATATATATATATATATTGCAAATTATATACGTACACTACACTGTATATATAAATATACACACACAATACGTATGTGTATATATGTATATATGTATATATATTATACATAATTTACTGTATATCCGGGTACACACACACAGTTGTAGATAGCATATACACATGTAGTACATACAGAGATGTTACAGTACCCTATCCTACGCTACCCAACACTACACTACATTACGTATTATAGATTAATTATATGTAGCAAACATAATGTGGTAAACCCACCCCAAAAACATCCCATGGTTTTTCCTAGAACTATATTGTATGTCAAATATATGACAAACCATTGCAACTTGGAGGTTTAGGATTAGATTTATCACATGATATGATACCTCCTTACAATGTGGGAGCCCAGTGGGAAGTTGGTGTACTGCAAAACATGCCTTATCTACCATAGTCAATATTAAGTATGGTATCATTTCTATTTGTAATATAAATTATAGTAAACTATGGTTAGGTGACTTCAATTAAAAAAAAAATATATATTATATGTACTAAACCATAGTACACCTGTGTATAAACCTAGTCCAAGTGCGCGCCTCATCTACTATAAGAATCCACCAACCATTCACACACTTGGAACATGCCGAAAGAATATTCACCCTTTCAACCGAAAGGGATGTTGGTTTCCCAGTGCGCTGTCCTATCTAATGTATGTCTATATAAATTATATTGGCATGTATTGGTATACAAATATATGGATTGATACGCATTGATATGTATTGATGCGTACTAAGTGCTTTCCAGTCCCAATATTGAAGTAGTTCAGCCTCTGAAATGTTTGTATGTGATTGAACAACGCCAGTGAAGCCAGTCTCAAAGAACATCTGGATGACTATAACTATATGGTCACGGGTCCATGAGTCGCCTGGTTACGAAACCATCATTTAGGTATTTTGCCTATTGGAAATCAGACGTCAGGCAAAGGTGGCAATTTTTCACCATCCTGAAAACTAACGCCGCTACAATGTTTTTCCTTGCAACTTTGCCAGTTGTTTTAAGAACTGTGCTGGGCTCGGCCATTTCAGCGAATTGCGCCAGCAAGCGTAACATAACACTTGCGACCAAAAGCGTAGCACGACGTGTTGCGTGCTAGATGATGCGGCAGCCTGCAAGCGTAACATAAAAATAGGTAACAAAAAAAAAGTCCAAGCGAACGCAGCAAAAGGAACGTTATTACGCCCCCCCCACCCCCCCCCCAACCCCACCCCCCCGCAACCCCCCCCACCCCCCCCAGCAACAGCGTAGCACGACGTGTTGCGTAAAGATGATGCAGCAGCGTGCAAGCGTAGCATGACGTCTTGCGTGCAAGATGATGCGGCAGCGTGCAAGCGTAACATAACACTTGCGACCAAAAGCGTAGCACGACGTGTTGCGTAAAGATGATGCGGCAGCCTGCAAGCGTAACATAAAAATAGGTAACAAAAAAAAAGTCCAAGCGAACGCAGCAAAAGGAACGTTATTACGCCCACCCCCCCCAACCCCACCCACCCCCCCCAGCAACAGCGTAGCACGACGTGTTGCGTAAAGATGATGCAGCAGCGTGCAAGCGTAGCATGACGTCTTGCGTGCAAGATGATGCGGCAGCGTGCAAGCGTAACATAACACTTGCGACCAAAAGCGTAGCACGACGTGTTGCGTACAGATGATGCAGCAGCGTGCAAGCGTAGCATAAAAATAGGTAACAAAAAAAAAGTCCAAGCGAACGCAGCAAAGGACTTATTACGCCCCCCCACCCACCCCCCCCCAACCCCCACACACCCCCCCCCCCGCCAACCTCCCTCCCCCACCCCCCAAAACAAAGAAAAAGGCCAGGCGACCTGTGGACCCGCCAGCAACTATATCTATACATACATACATGGACATACATACATACATATATATATATACCGATATACCTATATAATTATATATATATACATAACATCCACATATATCTATATATATATATAATATAGAAGAACAATGTGTGTCCACACACCCAGAGGGCTTTGGTCGGTTTTAGTCATTTGGTGCTCTGAACCTATGCAAAAGGAGGACAATTTTGAATCATCGTCCAATTTCAAGGAGAAAACAAAAGGTGCCTGAAACCACCAACCAGTATAGTAATATTAGTAATTTACATAGATCATCATAGATCATTATTTCATCAAGTTTAAGTTTGTGTATATGTTGAAGATATTTATAATACGCACACAGCTGATGTCTCATGTTGTCCATTCTCTCCCTTGCCCGTTGCGTGCTATAGGAACAGCAGCAGTCTGCTGTGGAAGAATGCCGGGAGCCCCTCCACGAGCCCCGACAAGTTGAAAACTCTGCCGCAGACAGCACCGAAAAAGCGAAACCATGGGGGTCGCTATAGTTAGGTCTTAGACTCTTAGATTGATCATAAATTAAGTTCCATGGTTTAGCAAGTGCCTTTACTAATAAACATAACAAACTGTAGGTAGCCACCTGAGTATGAAGTCCTTTGCAGCCGCTGCTCGCAACACAACTTGGCGATGTCATAGCATTAGAACCACAGGAACTGCTGGTTTCCTGCATATTCTCCCATAAACATCAGTTCAAACGGCAAAATGGTTGCGATTTGGAGGCATTCCAAACAACTCTTTGAACAATCTATCTTCAAACAATTGTGTCAACTCTTTGTTTAAAGATCTCACAAACTGTTCTTCAAGGATCATCACAGGAATCCTCACCGGTTAGTAACCCTGGTTAGTAAGTTAGCAAGTTAGTAAGCCCCCCTTCCTAGGCTTATCCCATTTGTAAGTATAATTGGGTATTTACTAAGCAGTTACTAAGTGGTTCCCCCAGTACCAGAAATGTGATGTAGGGATTCATCCGGAATGAGAACTACTAGTATATTAGTATGTCTAGAGTTTTCGCTTTCCAGCTGGTTTTCACCAGAAACCACCGTAAAATCATCAATATATTCATCACAGTATTCTCCATAGTTCTATATATTTCTGGTATTTCAATCGCCATCGCCGAATTTTCCCATTTCCCATGGCCCTGAAATAACAACAGCCGCCATGGCCTGCGACGCCCATGGCTTCGCTCAGGGCATGACTTCCAAGGCGGCTTGACGCACGTAGATGGACTCGTCTCTCAGGCCCCGAATGATGCAGTTCAGGGCGCGATGATCGTCTGGCGATGTCGGACCGCCGGACCATGGTCACCGGGATGGACACTGGTTGAAATCGTTACACGGATGATCATTGTTTGGTGGAAAAACCCATGGTAAAACACCATGTGATGGTAGGAAAACGCATGGTAAAACACCTATATGATGTATATATCATATAATACATGCAGGTATGGAAGAGTCCTATATGCTTAATCCTTGTTATGCTTATAGAGGATGGATATATAAGGTTATAACAAGCCAGCTTGAAGCCACAAGCTGCTTTCGCCCTCTATGCAGTTTCAATCGCCACTTTAGGGAAACAGAATGCAAGAAATCATGATGAACCAGTGGATGTTTAGGGTTATATTCTATATATATATATAATTATATATGTATATATTTATGTATATATATATATATACACATTGTTTTCAAACAAACCCAGTTATTAGTATCCCGGCTCTTCTGGGTTGCTATTTCCAAGTATATGAGACATATTCACCCCATTGAAAGGAATAATAACCCCTCAAAAGATTCGGAAAAGGGGCAATTTACCTAGCAGAAACAGATTGTACATCGTCATCTTTCAGGGGCTTGCTATAATGCCAACACCATATGTTTGTAGCATTAAAAAGTAGCAAGTGACACCAGTGACACCGATCCGTAATCAACCAGTGGTTTGATTCATCCAAGGTAAGGTTCACGTTGACAGTTGATATATGATATATCCATCAATTATCCAAAATTTCGCGAAAATTATGTCATGTACAAATGATTCAATCATCTTTTTGGGAGTTGCCATAAAGGTTACCCTCTGGTAACTTAACATGGCCATGGCCATTGTCCATGGCCATTGTCCATGGCCATTGTCCATGGCTATGTTGTATAACCAGAGGCTATCAATAATGTCAAGCCTGGAGTAACAAACACTGGTTGATTCAGAGTACGTGTTATCCCCCAAACAAATTAAGATTTTCCAATTGCTACCCTCTATCAACTGGAAAGTTTCTAGCTAAATCCTGGGATCACATTCATCCAATGGTTGTTTTTTCGGGGCCCCGGTATCCCAACTTTTGGAGGTTAGTTGTCACCATGGGAAAATATCCATTCGTAATCCCTGGCCCGGCCTGGCACCCCGAGGTATGTTATATATTTATATATCCGAATTTATCTCCTCATCACATCATATCCCATCAAGTCACCAGTTTTCCATTTATAAAATTTATAACCTATAAATCAACTAGAATTATTCAACCTAGATTCACAATTGCTGGGTTTTATCACATAAATTAAATCAAATTAACCAGATTACCCAGATGCTCCCTGTAAGGAATAGTTACAGTACCTACATTTACCCCAAAAATAGGCCAAATGTCCAGCACCATGGAGCATATGGGTTATTTCAACCCATGGTTCATTGGATGATCATACCATTATAATCTCATATAATCACCATTATTCTCCCATATTAGTGCATTCATATCATCACCTTTTTTCCGTTTATAACTCAACTATATATGTATACTAAACTTAGAATCACAGTTGGGTTGTATCCCACAAATTTGTCTTTATATAATTGCCATATATTATCATTATCCCAGGTAATTACCCTCTGGCAATTTAACATAGCTATTGAACATGCCATAAACATAGTTGATTTACCATTAAACATTGTGATTGTCCATAGTTTGTTTGTATGTTTACCAGAGGGAATCTCCATCTTTCAAGGTATACACTTGTGTACACCATGATCAATTTCATTCTCCCCATGTTTGTTGGTTGTATACCCATTAAATACCAATGTTCCATAGTTTTTTGTATGTTTAGCAGAGGGTAATCATTACATCAATGGAATAAAAATAGATGACTGGTATATGAATATGAGTTGTTAATCATATATTATATATCCTACTATCTCACCAGGTAATTTCCCATTGAATCACTATAAAGTTCCGTTAAATCACTATTAAATCCCATTAAATCACTATTACCCTCTGGCAATTTAACATAGCTATTGAAAATGGCCATAGAAATAGTTGATTTACCCATTAAAAATTGTGATTTTCCATAGCTATGTTAGTTTACCAGAGGGTAAATCATCATTGTCCCCACGTTTCTCCCCACTGGTCCGGCCTGCATTGGCCACCTTGCCCAGGGCTCGAATGGCTTCCTCTCGAATCTCCACATCCTACGTGGACGATGCATGTCTAAGGGGTCAACAAAAAATGGTGGGACCAAGTTAGGGCCAAGTTGATTTTTTGATACCTCCAAGAACATTTAAGTGTTGAGAACGTAGATATATCGAACTAGTGGCTACCAGCTGGTTGGGATGTGACTGAAATGATGTGCAACATCATGAACATATCCCAATTATCTTACTAGTTGCTGGTATACCTACCCCTCTGAAAAATATGAGCTCGTCACTTGGGATGATGACATTCCCATATATTTGGAAAGTCATAAAAGCCATGTTCCAAACCACCAACCAGATATCTCATGATCCATTATTAACATACTCTCAGCTACTTGGGGGGGGGTGGGTTACTTCTGTGTAGACCCTAAATGTGGGGTCTAAAGGGTTGTTTGACCAGGGGGAATGTAAAAATAATTTCGTTCATCTAGACCTTTGGGCTGGTCCAGTATTTAAGGTCTACTATGGTTTTCCCACTGCCTCTACATATGCTCCAAAAAGTCCAACTTTTCATCTGCGCCAAATGCATGACATGTCTGCATATTTTTTCATGCGCCGCTGGTGAGCATTTTGCAATCCCAAGTGAAAAGACACCGCAGTCTGATCCCCATTCTATGTCATCCTACCGGGTCAGGGACACAACAAAAAACAGGTGGCTCAAAACTGTTCCAAATTGCTTTCAAAAAATGGAGGTAGCTCAAAACTGTTCCACATGGTTTTCAAAAAAATGGCTTTCAAGTAGATCAGTCCGACCCTGAATTATCAGACTCCTCAGCCTGATCATCTTCCTGACAGTCCCTGGTATGATTCAAGTCCAGACCCTTCGATTTATTTTTTCCATAGTTCCTGTTAAGGAGTTAGGTGCTGTAAAGGGTCTGAAAAGGTTTGTGTGTTTTTACAAGGACACAGAGGTCAAGATACGCTGGTGAAAAACATTTTAGACCCTATGCTTCGTTGTCTGCTTGGCTTTGATGTGGTTGAAGGTTGCGAAATCATTTGCAGAAAGCATTGATTACTCAAGGTGATGCTTACAGTAAAAGATCTTAAAAGTATCAACATGAGACATTCCATGTTGTTCACATTTGTTGACAGTGTTCACCTAAATTAGTGTTCTTTTTTGAAGTCGATTTTTTTTTGGAAGTCATTTTGCCAGCCGGGGTCTCCTTTGGTTTACTTTGGGATGTGGTGTTCAGATGCCTGTGGGGCCCTGATTGGATTTGAAGCTAGACCTTGGATGCACGCAGAACATGTTGTTGACTATCAATTTGGTGTGCCCAGCCATGTGTGTGGTGAGGTAATGTCCAGATGTATTTACCAACCTGTGGGGTCTTGAATGCTTTGCCTTGGCGCTCTTTTATGTGATAAAGCTGTGCCCCTGGTATGATTCAAGTCCAGACCCTTCGATTTATTTTTTCCATAGTTCCTGTTAAGGAGTTAGGTGCTGTAAAGGGTCTGAAAAGGTTTGTGTGCTTTTACAAGGACACAGAGGTCAAGATACGCTGGTGAAAAACATTTTAGACCCTATGCTTCGTTGTCTGCTTGGCTTTGATGTGGTTGAAGGTTGCGAAATCATTTGCAGAAAGCATTGATTACTCAAGGTGATGCTTAAAAGATCTTAAAAGTATCAACATGAGACATTCCATGTTGTTCACATTTGTTGACAGTGTTCACCTAAATTAGAGATTTTTTTGAAGTCGATTTTTTTGAAGTCATTTTGCTAACCGGGGTCTCCTTTGGTTTACTTTGGGATGTGGTGTTCAGATGCCTGTGGGGCCCTGATTGGATTTGAAGCTAGACCTTGGATGCACGCAGAACATGTTGTTGACTATCAATTTGGTGTGCCCAGCCATGTGTGTGGTGAGGTAATGTCCAGATGTATTTTCAACCTGTGGGGTCTTGAATGCTTTGCCTTGGCGCTCTTTTATGTGATAAAGCTGTGCCCCTGGTATGATTCAAGTCCAGACCCCTCAAGCAGTCGATCTAATTTTTGTTGGCCCTGATTTCCTTGAATTTGGCAGGAGTCACAACGTGCCATGGTGTGGTTGAAGAAAGAGATGCCCCCGAAGGAGGAGAAGCGCGGGACCAAACGATTTTGAAAACTAAAGGATGCCATGGATGCCATGGATGCCATGGATGATGATAGTTTTGAAAAGACCTGTTCGAAAACTAAACATATTTCGTATCATATTCCAGAACCATCCAGAAACTCTCTTTCAGAATCCCTTTATTTTTGCTTCCAATCTGTGTTGCTAGGGATTTGGGGTGAACCAAAAAAATATGGCTTCCTGACAGTAGGGCCCCAGAATGCTATGATTTTATATTTCATTTTTTGCTAGCTTCAAAACCTCCAAATTCCAAGGGTCTAGAATGGTACCACTGGGAAGGGTCTACAATGCTCTAATTATCAGTCTAGACCTCTAGACCCTAGCCCCTCCAGGGGGGGGCCTTCTAGACCTTAAGTAGTTGAGGGTATTTATTAACCATTACTAACCACTATTAACCACTATTAACCAATATTAACCACCATTATTCACCAGATTAATGACCAAAATTCAGGGCTGCCATCCCTGGGGCATCCCTGGGGCATCCCTCGGGCCACCGGGGCCACCTTGTCATCCACCCGCGCCAGGATCTTCTCCAGCGCCTTCTCATCTCCCTTGGCACACACGTGCGGCAAGGCCTCACCGAAACCAAGTTGCGGCGAAACAAGCCGCGTGTCTTGCGGCGAAAGGAGAACAATGGAAGGAACTGTTTTAAAATGTGGGTATCATGTATATATGTATGCATATATATATAATTGTATATACTGTATATATATATAATGTATATATATGTAACGTACTAGCAAATGAAGGGCTGGTGAATTCTGAAAATGTGTCTAAGTTGTCTGCTTGCCATCTGCGTCCTGTAGGTGCGGCTCTATTTCGTTCAGCAGTGTTCTGTTGTGAAGACCACCTAATATGGAAAACAAAGAATATTATATATTGTACATATACATGTCAAACCACCAAGTGAAGAAACGAACTTGTATACATCTATATAGTGCTTCCCATCTTTACGGTTGATGTTTTTCACAAGGATGATCCTTCAAAAGCACATGGATAAAGAACCAACCATATGATCAAGTCCAGGCATATACTAATGGATGCAAAAAGACAAACAATATGTATATATATATATATGATTATATATATACGTATGCATATATGTATATATATATACAATTCGAAACACATACACAAAATAGACAAAAATCCTATCTTCTGCCTGTCGTTGTTCAGCTGTTCATCCCTCTGCGCCCGTGGCTTTTTCGACCTGCAGCGCTGCATGCCGCACTGGGAAGGCGTTCGATTCCAAGAGCTGGTAGATCTCTTTGAGAATGTCCTGGCTATAAACCAACATGGTATCATTGGGATTTGATAGGGGGTAGAATGGAGATTTTCCACATGGCATCATGGGTAAACACCTGGTATTTAAGGGATTTATGAGGATTTATGGGGATATAAGCAACATATATATATATATATGTGCGATCGATAATTGGGATAACCTGGGAATAAACATGTAGAAGAGTTAGCAAAAAAATGGAATATAAGGAACGGTTCTTGGAAAATCCAGTATTGTAGGATATATCTACTAACTCCAGCACTGTGGCTAAATTAGAAATCATATGGTGCCCCAGGTTGTTGGCTAAGTTGGTTTAGTTCACTAGGCTAATTGTTGGCTTTCTGGTAGATAGATCGAACTAGTTAATGGATGTTAAAGGGGTTTCTAAAGCGACTGACAATTTGGGTATATAGACATAATCGGTGTTGTTAGTGGTAATACCCAAGGGTACAGCCAAACAAATGGCATACCGGTCGAATGGTGATGTACTGGGGATATAGTTGGGACTTAATGAGGATCTACCCAATAGAGATGATGTATATAATGGGGATCAAAACACAGGTTAATGGTTACACATGCCACAATGGGGATCCCACAATGATTGTATTCAAACAAAGGAAGCATGAGGATATAAATCATGGGGATATGCTGGGGATTAACTGGCACTCAAGAGAGTCAACCGAACTCCCAGCTATAAAATCACCATTTTTAATATGGAAACCATCTATAAATGGGCCATTTTCCATGGCTATGTTCAATAACCAGAAGGTGTGTATGTGTGTATGTGTATATTCTACACGAACATGACACCATCCCATCCCATGAAACACTGGTCAATAGGTATCCCAAGTAATGGATGTAAATGGTTTTTTCATGGATTGTCAATATCCACCATAAACATAGAACAAAGCAGTGTTCAAAACCCTCTGTTGTTCCATGAACAAATTACTGTTGGTTACTGAGATTTCATGGGATTCCCAGAATGGATGTTAGTCCCTGGTGTATTGGATATCATAACTCCCCATAACAAATCAACAAAAAAGGGTTTTTTGAACATTTCTCGGGGTCAGTAGTGGCAACAAATTGAAACCATTGCGCATGTATACATGGGTCATGTTGGTAAAGCAATGTCATGTTTGCCACCCATATGGATTCATGGTTTAAAGTAACCACTAATGAAAATTAGGTAAGTCATTGTCAAATTGCTGGTCCAATCCTTAGAAATATGTATGTACCAATGTACCAAGCATGACAATGACGATATCGTTCCTGGAGTTATTTTTGTAATGGCAATGGGCCACCAGGAACCTGATGCGCCACACGTCACACGCCACACGCCTTGACCATGGCTAGTTGTAGAAAGAACCGATCGAAACCCATGATTTTTCGGGTTATAAAATTGGGTTTTCCATTTTTATGGGGCCGTAAGTGACTTATGACTGGTGAAGGGGCCAGAGCTGTACAGCCACTTTGGGTGTAACCTTCCCATTGAAATCTGCATATAATCCCCAGTGTTGATGGGTGAATCCTCATGCTTCATGGTTGAGAATGCCAAAAATGGCCCAGAAATTCGTTGTCTGAGTAAATTGTGATTTAATAAAGTCACAAATCTGGAATCAACATGTTCTTGGGATGATCCCAAAAAATGAACATCATCTACTGCTATTCGGTACCCAGATTAACCCCTGGTCCCCGGATGTCCGGATCGTTGGATGGCACCAGTCGCTGCAAGGTATTGCCCAACTCCAACATGGCCGCAGCGTTCAAGGAAGATTCCTTGGTCCACCAAGGCTTTGGGATGGGACCATCGGGTAAGTGGTCAATTGTAGCGCGTCAATAGGCCAAATGTAACTATATGTCAAACATTGACACATACAAAAATAATATTACATATATATATAGAATATATATATATATAGAATATATATATATAACATGTGTATATATATTATGCATGTCTCTCTCTCTATATATATATATACAGTACATAAATAATTGTGCCAAAGGATACATGCTAACCACATGCTAACTGGGATGCACATCCAAGTAAGAATGTGCATAATATAAATATTTTGGGATAACCATGTCCCCATCATGGCAAAGTCACACCTAGAATATGCTGTATATGCTGTTATTGTAGATGGATATAGCCCATTACAACCAATGGAGGTGAAATAAAATGCACGTTGGGGATATGGGGTGCGTATGGGTGAAAGCATTGCAGTGGAAAATGGATTTCCCTCACCTTGAGTCTCAACCTCTACACATGTAACAATGCTTCAATAAATCATGTACATTAAGCCTTTTATTGGAACAGATGTTTGTTTACGAGAACACTGGTCATGGACCATGTACGAAGGCGTATCATGCACGATGGTGTATCTGTATCTCCATTATGAGGCCCGCATATTCAATGTTTTTTGCCGCTTATGTGCCCATGTTCAAGTTCGTCATTGTTACGGACATCGTACCACCTTTGGTTCATATGTTTTATATTCTAACAATTGTTATGAAATTATCCTAACAATTGTTATGAAGCTTTCACTGGTTCTAATCATCCCATGTGCTTTGCTAGTAATGGTTATATTACCAACATTTCATCTCCCACATATACGACATATCCAGCAAGGGACCCCAAAATGAATAGATCCAATACTCAATCACGGCTTCGTTTGGGGCTTCTGAATACCATGGGGCAGGGATTAAATTATGGGTTAATAAATAGTTACAGTAATATGTTTTGCTACTTAGGTCAATCATTAATTACGTGGATGTTCACCCCCTATTCGGCCCATATATAAGGTGGTTGTCCCCCAGCTACAAGTTGGTTTATAACCCTCATGAACTGTACTTCTACCATCAACCCTATAGTTATTGGAGTTATTTCAACCAATTTAGCTAACATAAACCAAAAAAATCTAAAACTCATCATGGTAGCATAGTGATTGGACTTATAGTGACCATTTATACAGTTCTGGCTATGGTTATTACTTAAAGCTGGTTATTTCTATGGGATTACATTTCATAAATGGGGTTAGTTCAGTACTTATATATATACGTATATATATATATATAACTGGTAATTCTGGCCATAACTGTGCAGCCACTTTGGCTAACATAAGCCATACATTGCCATACATACTTATATATATATAATATCTCTAACTCAGCATGATAATATAGTGATTGGACATCTATAATGACCATTTATAGTGGATTAAATCCCATTCAATCACCATTTAAGTACTGAACTAACCCCATAAGTGGAATGTATAATCCCACGGAAATAACCAGTTATAACCATCATTCACATGTTTAGCCACCATTAAGCATGATTAATCACCATTAATCACCAGTTATTTCACTATCAATGGCCACAACTGTAGTGGGTGAAAATCCCATTCGGAACCACTGGGCTCTCCCAGCGCGGATGCAGCGCATCAGCGCAGAGACGGCCTTGCTGTGCCCAAAGCGACACACGCGGCCCACGGCGCGGAGGGCACAAGCGCCTTGGGCGTCGGAGGATGAGAAGGGGAATCATTGGGAAATAATATGATAGGATAATTAGGAATATCCTGGTGGATAAGTAGAATGATGATTATATCCATTACTAGAATATATCTACTATAATATATCCTGAATATATCCACTATAATACATGGTGATAACTATCCAAACTGGTTATATATGCATATTTATGGTTAACATCCAGAACTAGAATATATCATTAGGTGATAAGTATCCAAACTATCATTATGGTTAAGTATCCTTTGAATGGTAATAACTATCCTTTGGATAACTATCCAGAATATATCCATTACAATACTTGGTGATATATCCATAACTTATCAATTATATATATATATCCGAATCAACATTTTCGATGATAGATATAATATTATGGGATAATTAGGAATATATCCTGTGGATAAGTGGAAAGATTATTAAATCCATTAGGGAATCACGTGATAACTAGGATATAGTGGTGACAATAACTAGTCATCCCAACTAGGATTATATCCCAGTGGTGATAATTAGGATAACTATCAATTAGGATATAACCACTATAACAGGAATACCAACAACAGTATACTTGAAAGTAGTATCATGACATGGATAATACATAGTATTCTATAGTTATGGCTTATAAGCATGGTGAATGATGCTTATATTGTTGGCTAGTTGATGTGTGATGTGATTTCCGTACCCATGATAATATCCCACTAAATCATTAGATATCCATTAATGTTTCAAAAACAATAGGATCCACCATCCCCATTTTTTTTGAGATTTCCAGAGATTTACATGGGGAAAAAAAGTTGGTAATTCGCTGTACATGGTGAATCCCATGGGTTCAGAAAACCGATTGATGTTGGACAAGCAACAGGATCCACCATCCCCCAATTTTACCAAATTTGATGGATGGTATGAAACCATCACGATATGGGTGGCTTCTTATTGTATTATTGCTGTACTAACGTTAATTATGATAACCTTACGTTTTTATCTTTTTTTGAAGTGGTACTTCTTTGCCTGGATTCAGGTTAAGATTTAATCAAATATCATAAATCAGGTTTAATGCCACTATAAAACACTATAATGCTTAAGTATCATATACTATGCCTGTATTATTTACCAGTATAAACAAGGGGTCCATGGAGTCCATGTTCGTGTTGGATGACGACTCGTGTTTTCGATGGATGGTATGAATGGTCGGATCTCCATGGACGGTACCAAATGTGGCTGGAGAGTAACTGGATCGGAACGGTGTTTTTTTTCAAAGTCCCTGTTTTCTGCAGCGTTGTATCATGAGTTTACATGGTTTTACATGGTTTTACATGGTTTTACAATCTGCCAAGCCAGTTGTAAGCGAGCATTTTTCATGAATGCAATGAAGCGGGCAGAGAATCTATCATGATCCACCTGGCAATGCCATGCCGCAGCGGCTCAGTACGGTACCGCATACCGAACCAATAAATACTAAGGGTATATCCACCAAGATGTCGTACCAGGCAGCAATTAGGCAACGATGTCCTACAAGGAATCAAAATTAAGGTACTGCATGCACAGCCCCCTCGACCTGTACTGTGCATGTCAACCTGGACGCAGGTGTCACCGGGGAGTTCAGTACTTCAGCCTGTAAATGATCCAGCCAGCAAACCAGGTTCTACAATTAAAACCTTCCATATGGCCTAGCGGCTAGGGGTCAAGTTCCAAATAAAATTGCGACCAGCCAAATCGCAGGTTTGGGAATCTGGAAAATGATGATGGATAGCCGAATATAGCCATTTAGATTTAGATATTATCCAGTTTTGAGGCTCTGAAAACGATATATATATATAATATAATATATATATATAATAATATATATATATATATGTGTAATATAATATATATATATATATGTAATATAATATATATATATATGTAATATAATATATAATATATATATATATCTCCCTCATTAATCTGGCAATTCAGAAGACAATCCCCTCTTTGATCCTGTTCAGACATAGATCATGTCCGTCTTACGAGCCAATGCTTACCTGGTGGAATTCACCGTTTTGGGCCATTGGCCATTGCCGTGTGAACCCAGCGGCGTGTGCTCTGATCGCCACACTCCACCCATGGCAAAATGCTGCTGATGACTAGCTGGTCTTCGTCCTGGACAAGGTGAATCCACATGCTGAAAGAGATAACACATTCAAAGTAAAGGATCTCGAAGAAGAACACAAAAACATTGAATCGTTCGATTATTTCAAGGGAATCACTTAGGAAAAAAATCACCACGCCCCGTGAACAAAACTGCAAAACTGCCCCTCATAAAAAACAGTCTCTTGGGACCATCCACCCGACTTGTATCCTCATCATGAGAGCACCTTCCAGGTTCACCGGATCTAGATTTGTTGATTACAAATTTTGGCCAGGAGAGGAAATTAAAAACATATCCACACAATTCCCCACATACATTGATCAAATATCCCAGCTGTATTTGACGTAATTTCAGTTTGGGTCTGGGTATTGATGTCAATGATCTCAATATACCCTCATGTTGTTCCTTTGCTCCGATTTATCTTCAGTCCCAGCTCAGAAGAAATGTTTCAATGGCTTTGCTGCAACATGTTTTGGATCTCAGGAAAGAAATACATTCTTATTTTGTTTTTTGCCAGACACAAACATTACTGTGAACTGTAAATGTGTTTCATTTTTTATACTCTCTGGTAATCAAACGTGGATCGCTGGAAAATCCTCCATTTATAGAGGATTTGTTGTCATTTACATATACATTTATAGGGGATTTCCAGGGATTTCCCCATGGCTTTTAAAAAAGGTCCTTCACGACGCGTGAGAGCTTCATCAAGGCTCCCTGGACACTGCGGGTGTTCTGAACACGCAGGAGCCTGGCAGTGGCAATTCCAATGGGACCTGCGGATTTCAAGCCTTAGAAATCACTTATTTTTTATGGTTAGAAATAAGGGTTAGAAAATTCCATAGATCCGATGACTTACTGAATGAACTGAAGGGTATCTTCGGGGATACTGTGGAGATGCGAATCGATGCCAGCCAGAAATGTTCCCAACTTGTCCAAGATTGGGCATGTGTTGCCATTCCCTATCCCCAACCTTTTCGATGTTGTTGTCTTTTTCCAATTTCTTTCAACACAATTATGAAACACTCAGAAAATCGAGCAAATCTATGGTATCCTCACAGGAAGCCCCACGGGACTCCACTTATGGGGGTCAATCACAATAGTTTTCTAGCCATAGACATCACCCCCAACTATGGTTCATCCCTATGATTTCAGCAAATTATGATGAGATTTCCATTTCATAGTGACATCCGATTTATTTTTGATCTCATATGTATAATATTTATATATACATATTTATTATTCTATATATGATTATATAATTGTAAAGATTAACCACCCAAGTCCTGCATCAAAAAAAGACCTACCAGCTGTCGATGGCCATTTCGGCCTCTTCGGAGGTGGGCAAAGCTTTCGGCTGACGTGGCCATCGTCGCTCAGTCGGAGTTTGCCTCGCCGCTTCGACATGGGCACCACCGTGGGGATTTTTCCCCAAAAAAATGGGTGCATTACCCCATTAATTTAGTACTTTACCCATTTTTTTTTTTAGCCGTCGTGGCTCTGAAGCTACTGGCGTGGGTTCCGACCCACCAGCGGTGAACACCGGCACGTGGTTGGGGCTGCTATAGGGGTTGTAGGGCTGCCTTACCAAGATTCACCTTTGCTTGATTGCCCTTTTCAGTTCTTTCCACTTCCCCTCAGCCTACAATGAGGTGCATTTGTTTTGTCATCTTTGTTCTTCATGTTTTCCTTTTATGTTGTCACACAACTGCATTGTCGCATCCTGTGAGCGCCGTTGCGAGCGGTATTTTGCACATGGAGTCTGGGTCCAAGCGCTCCGCTTGGGAGTCGAAGTCATCCAAGCCAGGCATCCAAATTCCTTTCCTCACCGAACTGGAGCTGGTGTCTGGTGATGACATTCAGTCCTTGCAAGTTTTCCCCATGGAGCGATTTCATGACAGTTCACAAGGCATCAGCTTGGCAAATTTGGGCACCATAAAAGACAACTCGGCTACCCGAACCAGCCAGACATGTGCCTTGATCTGTAAGGGCTACAACAAAAGAAAGCTGGAGTCTTTTGGGTTGGAAGGATCCCGGCTCGAAGAATGTGTGATTACAATTCATGACCCAGTTCTTGGTCGCAATGAGAGCCGAGCAGTGACGCTAGTCAACATGGCTCTTGACGATGGCAACTACATCCGCAGAGCTCAGCAGGAGATGACCGTTGAAATTTCATGCTCACCAAAAATTGCCCTGTGGGCTGAAATTCGGCAGTCAGATTCGAATGCTCATGATTGGCAAGCCCTCAGCAAAGAATCAGAATTTGATGCGTTCATTGCGGAAGTTCTGAAATCCGAGTGTGAAGACGGAGACTTTGTGGCCCATAGATGCCAGAACAAAGGCAACTACTTGGTGAAAAGACTTCAGGTTCCAGTTTCTGATCGGGATCGTCTCTACAGCAAATCTGGAAAAAATTCGGTCACGTTCCGACAGGCGCGTGGACCTTTTGACCCTGATGAGCCTGACCTCGAGATCATCAAGATTGAGGATAGTCCTCCCGATACAAGGGCTGGTTTCGAAAAATATGTCCATCTCAAGGGATTTCTTGGTCTATTCTGCGCCCAAAGTGTGTTTTATCTTCGGATTCAAGATGTGCACCTGGGAGAGGCGCGACAGTTCATCTACGGCAACAGTGGCATTTTCAATGCCCACACTATGAGCATGAAGCTCACCAAGAGATTCAAGGTCCAGGGCTTCCCTTCTGGAGCTACTGTGGCCACAGTTGTGGAGACATGTGCCTCGCTTAGCTGGCATGTCGTTCCGCTCCGTATCATTCATGTGGCTGAACTTGCTATTGCTATTGTAGGAAGCAGCTCCTCGCCAACTTCCTGCCGAATTCCCACGAACCTGGGCTTTCTTCAAGTTGAAGAGATTGGGAAGAGAGCCCCTAGGAAGCCAAGAGCCAATAGCGAGTTCAGCTCAAGCTCAGGTTCCAGTGACCGTAAAGTGGAAGTCTCTACCCGGTCCTCCTTTTCCAAGCCGCCAGTGGCCAATCCATCTTCGGCCCAGTCTTCGCCGCCAGGATCATTTATGTCACCTTTCGCATCCAGTTTGGCTGGCAAAGTGCAAGCCCTGGAAGATCGCATGAACAGAGTGTGCAGTGATGTGAAGGTGTTGCAAAAAACCCAGGCGGAGACCCGCGAAGACATCAACCAGATCAAACAAGTTCAGGAAGGAGGATTCTCATCTTTGATGTGTGCTATCAACGAGTTGAAAGACATGCAGGAAAGAATGATGACAGCAGCCAGTAGTGCAAGTACCCCGATCCACTCACCTCCGCCAAAGGTGGCAAAGTTCTGATATTTTTCATCGATGTCAATCTCCATGTTCTGTTCTTTTCCTACCGGTCCCTTCTCAAAGTTGTGCCCTTTGCAATTGTTTGGTGGGATTACTTCAATTTTGAACAGAACTGGCCACACGGCGAAAGTTTTGACTTCAGATCTCTAATGTCCATGAGTAGCTTCTCTGCCTTAATTCATTTAGTTGGCTTTTTTGCACGGGCCGGATTTGTGTTCGCACTGGTTTCTGGGATATGCGCCTTTTCTTTCTGTTTTTCTCTTTTTGTCGGGTGCCTCTTTGTTGCCTTTTGGATAAGGATACGCCTCCTTGGTCGCTACTTTCCCTTTCCCATGTTGAACAGAAGCTCTCGAAAATGTTTGGCTCACAGGGGCTTTTCAACTGCTGTTTTCGTGACAATTTCTTTTCGTGCTTCATGGCGAGGTCATTTGTGGAAAGTAAGCAGAGGCCTTTTCGTTATGGCGCTTTTGATATCCCAGTGCGTTGAGCCAACCATGTCTAATGACACAACCGGCAGACAGGTCAAAATCAAAATGGATGGTATCCCTTTGTTTCAGATTTTTTCGGAATCCTACCCTTCTCGCCCACTTTTCGATATCTACAGTCCTTGTCTCGGGTTTCCTGGGGAAGGGCCTACTGGCGCTTTTTCCTTTATTTCTGCAAATGTGAGTTCTTGTCCAAAGTACAAGGATCATATTGCTTCTTTCTCAACATATGATTCCAACGGAGTTGCGGCGATGTTCTTGCAAGAATCTCGTGTGCCGAAGTGTTCTGCTGTGTCCCTGCAGAAATCTTTCTTCAGGGCTGGATTTGATTTATCCTTGGGTCCTCAACCTGCTTTTTCTCGAGTCAAGGGCTCTGCCAAAATTTTGAGACAGGGACACGGCGGAGTTGCAGCTCTTGTCCGAAAAGACATACCATATCAGCAAATCTCGATACCCGACGACTTTTCCGTAATCCGAGACCATGTACAGGTGCTTTGGTGCTCAGCTGGAACAGCCCAGAAGGGCTTTATCTTTTGTAATGTGTATTTGCCGGCTGGATCTGTCAGAAAGACGAGGTCTGACATTTGCGAATCTGTTTTTTGCTTCCTGTCAAGGTTCAACTCTTATCCTTGTTTTGTGGTTGGTGATTTCCAGGAAGAACCAGAACAGATTTCAGCAGTGGCACAAGCCATGGTTTCCTGTACTTGGTTTGATGCGTATGCGCAAATCCAATCAGTGCATGGTCGTGATCTAGAGGCTACCTTTTCCAGAAAAGGGTGGGAATCCTTGCTACCTGGTCCTTACCGAACAAGAATTGACCATATCCTGGCTAATAACCTAGGCTTGGAGCTAGTTTCTGACATTCAAATTTTGCGCGATTCCATTCTCCCCGGGCACTGCCCTTTGCGAGTTTCCTTGAATCTAGGAATCTTACATGAAGATATCGCGGTGGTTCCCCTAAGGAAAAAGTGGCAACTCCCAGCAAAGCCTAATAATCAGGCAGAATGGGCTGCCCGTGATAACTTGTGTATTCCTGTATTGCAGAAATTTCTACCTGACATTATCGCGGCGGCTGCAAGTCACAATGCCGAGAGGCTCTGGCAAATAGCGTGTCACCTGGCTTCATCCATGCTTGATACCATTTGCATGTCAGAAACGCAGACAAACTTTGGCCGAGGAGAGATCCCAACTTTTTCTTGTGTTCATGTGGTTCCTGATAAGCCTAGTCCCTGTAAAGATCAGAAGCTTGTTCGATGTTGTAAAGAATTGCTAACAAAAGTTCAGTTGGCCGAAAACAATCATGACTTGCTTCTGCGAGACCAGTTTAAGTTGCTTGAATCTTCAATTTGCAGGCAGTGTCAAACAGCAGGGCTCCCGATGCCAGAATTACCCGTCCATGATTATGACCATCTCCTTTCTGTAGCTGAAACTCTTGTGCAAACAGCGCAAGAGCATGCCGAACGTGCAGCCACTGCCCGCCAGCAAGCGGCTCTTGGGCGGTGGCAAAAGAAACTTCAGATTTCTTCAAAAACCGACAAAAAACAAGTGCATTCCTGGCTTCGAGGCGGATTGTCTCAAGTGCCGAAAGCTTTTAAAGATGAGCACGGTCAATATACATCCTCCACAAACAAAATGCTTGATATGCTGACCTCCTACATGGAAGAGGTGTATAATGTTCATCAGCGTGAAGACTTACCCTCTATGATCCAAAATTTCCAAGAGAAATATTCACAAACCATGGAAGACATGAGTGCCAGTTGTCATCTCCCCCAACTCACTTTCCAACAAGTTTGGGAATTTGCCCAAACCAGATCCCCTAGCAGGGCTGCTGGAATGGATGCGTGGGGCATGGATGAGCTTCTGCATTTACCCCGTAGTGGTTGGATTGGTTTTACTATGACAATGCTTTTGGCAGAAGAAACAGGCCAATGGCCATTGGTTCTCAAATTTATCTCACTTTCGGCTATCGGGAAAGGGACAGACATTAAATCCCCGAAAGACACGAGGTGTATTGGTGTTTCTTCCTGTGTTTATTCTGTTTGGAGTGGGTTGCGATTTCGCCATTTAATCCCCTGGATGTTGCGAGTTTTTCCATCTAACATTATAGGCGGGGTACCTGAAAGACACATGTTTGAGTCAGAAGCTCAACTATCTTTGGATATAAGAGATTTCCAAACTGAACCATTGTTGGTCCTTCTTGACAGTAAAATGCTTCGATCGAATAGTACCTGCAGTAGCGGTGTCTGTCCTAAATTCGTTGGGTTTACCCCCTCCAATTGGCGTGGCCATTCAAGGTTTTTACTCCAATCAGGTTAGGATTATGAAATTGGGGAAAGCTTTTGGGAAAAGATTGATCCATGGGTCTTCAGCGCTTCAAGGTTGTACCTTGTCTATCCTGATGGTTAATGGCATTTTTTCAGTTTTGATGGCGCACCTTAATAAGATATGTCCCCAAGTTCAAGCAACTACATTCATCGATGATATGAAAGTTTGGGCAAAACGTGAGAACATTGGCATGTTGCAGTCAGCTTTGGCGGAAACGGTCGAATTCGATCCCCTTACTGGACAACTTATCAGCGAGGAAAAAACAACTGTTGTAAGTAGACGCCAAAAACAAAGAAGGCGCTTTCTCATCCAAGTAGGTCGTACCTACAAGTCCAAATCAAATGCCAAAAGCCTCGGCAACGTCCACAGAGCAGACAAAAAGAGGGCAGCTGTGACACAAGATCAAAGGGCCAACAAAGCAGTAGCTACTTTGCAGAAATTTGCGCAACTACCTCTTTGCAACACCCAAAAAGCTCTACACATCAAAACCAATGCCCACCCCCAATGGTTGCATGGCACTGAATTCCAAATTCCGTCAAAGCGAGCCTTGGCACGCCTTAGGACACATGTGGTAAAAATTTTTGCGAACAGGCTGAAGCGTATCAGGTCCCCGTGGTTGTTTCTTGCTACATATGAGGACGTCTTTATTGACCCTTTTGCTGCTTTGGCAAAGCAACTTTTAGTTAAAATCAGAGCGCTTGCGTGGACGCACCCTGAACTAGCCACAAAGGTACTAAAAGAAGCGGCCCTTGTCCAAAGAACAGTTGAGCAAACCAATAATGGTCTTGCTGCTGTGCTGGCATTTGTGTGCAACTCGTTGGGCTGGACATTGAACTCAGAAGAGCCGTTCTACATAACCACTACCCCGCAAGGCAATGGCTTCTGTATCAAGGGAGGGAGCAAATCTTTCCTTGTCGAAGAACTGGACCATGCCTGTCGAATTTTCTTATTAAATCAGGTGCCCGAGCGACATGATTTTTTCGATGATCTGGATTCCATTGACGTTTTCCTGACTCGATTTCTTCATGATTCGTCATTTGCAACTAAGGATGACATGGAATTACTCGAACCTTTCTTGCGGGATTTCCCAAAAGATATTCAAAGAGTTAGGGCAATCCTCCAAAAGTTATGGTCGGGACAGATTTTTACATCCGTGAGGTGCAAGGCGGCCGGGTTAACTGCGTCCGACAAATGTTTTGCATGTGGGGAACGTGAAGACCACTTACATTTGTTTGTTTAAGCAATGTCCATTCTATGCCCAAACCAGGCCGCCAGATGTTTTTCAACGTTCTACATGGTGTACTGGTATATTCCCCCGAAGCCAAATTTATCGTGAATGGGCCCAAGAACAAAAGGATTTACCGGTACTACCCCCTGAAATGTTTTGTGCTTGTACCTCTGATCCAGTTTTTATAGATGGATCGGCCTTTGCAAACAAATGGCAGCCACTTCGGACTGCTGCGTCGGCTTTCTGGTCAGCTTCTCATGAGTGGAATGCGGTTCTCCCGGGATGTGACCAAAGCTCTCAGAGAGCTGAGATTTATGCCCTTCTGTATTGCTTGGCCTTTTTTAGGGGTGATCTTACAGTATATACCGATTGCATGAATGTCTTGAATGGATTTAACCGCTTGGTGGGTTGTCATTTTTCACCGTCAGTGCTGGGTCAGTTAGACAATGCTGATTTATGGGAAAAGATGGGGCAGGTCCTTGCTCGACGGCAAGGGACGATTTCACTTCGAAAAGTCAAAGCCCACGTGTCTAACCATGCGCAGCAATGCCAGTACCTAACTGAAGGAAATTCCCGCGCAGATGCGTTAGCCAAGTCCTGCGCCAAAGAGAAACTCCGAGTTAAAATTTCTTGCTTTCGCGATCTCATTTCCCAGGCAGTTGGGCTACAAGTTCATTTGGTCACTACTCTGATGTCACGAACTGAACATTTCGCGCACGATGATCTGGAGCGTTTCAATTCCCCCCGTATACGGACTGCGATGTCGTGCTCTTGTGTACCCCTACGTCGCGTGCGGTCAAACATTTCAGCGTGCACAGGCGCGTGCCGCGTTTTTTCGGAGGTGATCAAACCTGGCTCAGTAGAAACTTCTTTCCTTGACATTTTAAGCAGTGGCAACCCGATCCCTGAAAATCTTAGGCAAACACTCGCAATTCATTACATCAAATTTCATAGGTTGCGCAGTCTTCCCAGGGTCTTGGGGCCAGTTGGAAGATTGCATGACTTTTCGTCTGTCACATCTGGTCGTAACAGGATCTCCCAACTTGCCGCAAGAACTCTGGCTGGCTACCTTTCTGCTCCTCACTGGTTTGTCCCAGTGAGGGGGGCCACGGCTGAAGAAAGAGTCTCATGGATAGAACTAAGTCTAGATTTTGTTGCGACCCATGGTTGGCAGCCCGGGTGGATTCACAGTGAACTAACCCTTGGTAAGTTAGCTAGACGTTTTCAAGTTTTCGTTGTGAGACTCTTGAAAGCAAATCGTATCCCAATTCGTGCAATATCATCGCTGCATTTGTCCGAATTTGGTTTCAATCGCGTGGCTAGCATCTATCTTCATAAGAAGTTCGTGTTCCCTGATAAAGTATTGGCCTTTCTGCTCCAGTGTTCCCGGTCTAATCCTGGCGAGTGGTTAGATCCTACTCAGAAGAAACATGTCGCTTTGTATTGGAAACCTTCCTTCGACGTTTTGTTGTGACTGCTCAAAGTTCACAATCTCCTGCATGTTGACCTGTCCTAATTCAACGTATCGATGATAACGTCTCCAGATGTTGGATGCATCATTCTGACACTCTGGCTGGATTGATCCCGTGCGGAACCTCATATGGCTGGAAAAAAGTACTTTACCCATTTTTGGGAGGTATTTGGAGAGTCTAGGTAAACGAATTCTATGTGATCTATGTTCTTTTTGTTTTCCATTTCGTTACAGGAGTTTGTCGGTCATTTCGCATGAAAAATTCCCAGGTTTGTGGGTGTTCATCCTTTTTGTCAATCATTCCCAGTTACTTTCCACATGGTTAAGCCTCCATGTTATGGTCAATCCGTTCAAAACTCTCCGAACTAAAGGCCACTTGGGTTCGACATATACATGTGTAGATATAATATCGTTTACATGCATTGTATAATAATTAAAAAAATGGAAAACAACTACTCATGTGCATTATTGTATTGGTCTTATACTCAAACCATATAATTACATATATATATATAATTATATATTTATTGATCACAACAAAAAACTGCAAAGCATTGCAAAACTGTTGTGTTCCTAATGCAATTTCATCTAAGATATGATCAGAATCAGCCTGTTTCCCTGTTTCGAAAAAAAATAGCTGGTAAATGTCTGTTTACTCCCCCAAAACATTCATGTGTTTTCGTAGTCTTTCCAGAAAAAAAACATGGTGAAATGATGGGAAATGACCTCCAAACTATCCAAACTATCCATGTTTCCATGGTTTCTATGGCCATTTTACTTTGAGACGTCCCCCCAACTGTGACAGAGTTGACCGAGCGCCTGCACTGCGCTTCTCTGGGGACTTGACCTGCCGATAAACTACGAGGTGGCTAAGATGGCTTAGTTCATTGGCTTCAATGTGTAGTTTATATGTATATTATATTATATATGTTATGTTATATTATATTATAGTAAATTATAATATTGTATCTTATATATACTATATTATATTGTATTATATTATATTGTATTATGTTTTGTTATATCAAATTAAACTGTATTATATTATATTATGTTACATCATATTGTAGTAAATAAAAATATTATATCTTATATTTACTATATTACATTATACTATATTATTATATTATTTTATATAGTATTGTAGCAAATTATGATATTATATAAATTATATAATATATTATTTATATAGTATATCATATATATAATATAATTTATATATATATATATTATATATTATGTATTAGATATTTTATATTTTATATATTGTATATATATATAGGGTTTATGATTTACATCTCAGTCCAGTCCAGTCCACTCCACAGCAGTTGAACACGAACGTTCTAAACGCTGGGGGCTTGTGAAACGATAACAATTTCTGTGAAGCGTGGGCTTGGGCAACTTCGATGATTTCCAACTAGCTTCTAAACCAACTAGCGTGGGCTTGGAGCTTCTAAACCAACTTGCAACCACTGTGTTGGATCTTTTTTCATGCAGGGTCCCATATTCGTTGTGGGTATTCAAGATTAGTCAAAAGGGGATTATACAATCTATATACACGATCCGTCTGCTTGAACAGTTGGTTTACATGTTCCAGTAGTAAATTCATTAGTAACTCAATAACTTCGAAGTGCTTCTACTGTGAGACCAATCTGCCTGTCTAGATCATTATTCAAAACTCTGAAAGACACCAAGTTTTTGATTACCATGTGGCAATCAAAAATGGCAGTGTTACAAAACAAAAACTATCTACCATTGTCATCATCCATGAGGGTGCGCATTTGCGAAGCCCTTTTTTTCACCAAAGTTGGCACCTCAAAATGAGATGGGTTCAAAAAAATACAAAATGCAAGTAGCAAAATCGAAAAAAAAAAATATCTGGTTCCCAACCGATCTTGAATTTTCATACAGTAGATCATTCGGCCCTTCTACCCTCGGGTAATCAAACATGGCAATGGAGCATTCAATAAGATTTACCCTCTGGTAAACTAACATAACTATGGAAAATCACCATTGGACCATTTTTAATGGGTAAATCAACTATAAACGGCCATGTTCAATAGCTAGTTAAATTACCAGAGGGTACACATGTTTTTTTTTCCAATTCAGACCTACATTTGTACGGATTTCTCAGCTAGCCATGGTTGATTGCCAGAGGGCAACAATAGTCCCAAGATTTTCCAGGTATATTCCCAGTTGTCTTCCCTGCGTGGGGGTGCATCCCACTTCGTAAATGGGTTATATACCAGTTATATATGGAATATCCCCACTTATATATGGGATGACATATGGGTTCATATATATATATATACTGTATATATATAATATATATATAATTATATATATATATTATGTATAATACAAATTATATATATAGGGAGTTTAAACCACGGATCCGATTCGTGGGGCCCGCGCATCCACATCCTGGGTACGCCAAATTTTTAAACCACACCTGGTGTAGGAAGACTTGAAGTCTTCGGCGCTCGCACTGGATCAACAAGTAGCCTTGCTGGCTGGGCAGCTTCTGCCGAAAAACTGGCTGTTAGAATACAGTGATGGCCCGAAAAATGGCAGTTATCAGTATGTCACCGCGGTATGGAATGATAACCCAATTTATGAAATGCTAACCCGATTCAGAATCATTTTAATAACTGGTAAAGGCCGGTAAAGGTAGGGGACTTTAAAGCAAGAAACAACATGGTAATCAAATGATGATTCAGATCATGTGTGAAGCAATGCCAAACCTGTTGGCCAACTGCCAGCTGTTGACAGCAAGATAGCGGACACTTCAGTCATCTACCATCATCTACCACTATAATGTGTAGGTAAAACGAAAATAAGCCATCCCCCAAATCACCATTAAAAAAATATATAAATGATTCCCAAATGGGTGGTTTATTATTGTTTTACCATGTTTTACCCAAATTAGTGGCTACATAATTACCAATTATTCCCTCCAACCCCCAGGTTCACCCATGCTGATCACTGTCTCCCCTGTATGTCACCAAGGGAAAAACGAATACGCTGGCTATACACAGCGACTTTGACTTTAGGTTTTCAGGATTTAGGCATTATTTCACATTAAACCAACACAGGGGAAGAAACCAGTATGTCACCATTTGCAGAAAAAAAACAAGCGAACTATATGCATATATTTGTACGCATAATATGTATGCACACACACTACATATGATATGTATATTATATATATATACACTCATTGTATTATATATATATATACATATCAATATTGTATATTATATAATCATATGCCAATTGTTATATATATATACCTTTGATATTTTTCTATGTAGCATTTTAATATACTTTGGGTAACTACACAACTTGTGATGCGAGTGGCGTGTGCAGGTTCCAAGCTCCAGGAGCGCCTTATTTCGAGCGAGGAGCGCTGGACGGTTTTGTCATGGTATCCTGGGCAAACACAGTTTTGATTCTGTTCAAATTGTGATGATTATATATGATTATATTTAATTATATAATTATATATATGATTATTGTAAAAATTGTTTAGGCTAGGCATATTCTTTGTAATTCTTATTTCTATTGTTTATTGTGTATATATGTTTGATATATATATATATATGTTTGTAGATGTTTTTATATGCAAATAATGATGTTTTTGCATGTGCTTTTAAATATACATCACATCACCAACTGGAAATGTTGGGCCGTTTTGGGATACTTACCCTAGCCATCACATTACAATTCATCCAGAAAACCCGGGCTTTTGCATATGTAATGCTCAAACATTGTTGCTGCTTTCAACCTTCCTTCAAATGCGGATAAAACCAACCAAGAGGTGGTATATGGTGGTTTCCTAAAATAGTGGTACCACCAAAGGGTACCATCGCCAAATCATCTAACATTAGACCAGTTTAGTATTGAAACTAAAAACAATGGTTTTGGGGATCCTATATGAACCATCAAAATAAAGAATCTGGTCAGCGGCTTTAACCTCTCCGAGCCTAGAATAAGCCACCGACCACTGTAGCGCTGTTGTGTCCACAGTCCAAGGTTTCAAATTTTGGGGCGACAAAGTTTCAAACTCTCTTTGGCCAAAAACCTGAGACGTTTTTGTTAATTATGAGCTAAAAATAGCCTCCCGAAGGATTTCCAGTGTAGGAATGGTTCGTTATTTTAGAGCCCACATATTCCCCCAGAAGTTCCAGTTTTAGGGCCCTTCCCTTGACAGCACGGCAAATGTCTTCTCTGGGTAACAACCACCGCACGGTCAATCTTAGATACCCCCATGTGTGGCAAACACATATCGGAACTAACGTTAGTAAAGCAAACATAAATCACCCGTATTTGATGGTCTATAACACCTATAACAATTGTTAAAATTTGGGGGGTGGTGGATCTTATTGCTCTACTATTATTAGGAATGTGTATTCCTATTATATCACTGTACTATTCCTTTAATCTCCCATTCTATCACTATACCCATGTTTATCCCATTTAGATCCATTTACTGTATATTCCCATTATAGCTTATGACTCATTTCACTCAACAGTTTGCCCCGTGTCCACGGCCCCGCCCCTTAACGTTGACCCAGCCGGTTTCATGTGCCTTTTCATCCAGCAGAACCAAGATGTCCCACAAAATTTCACCTGGATCGGCACTGGATCGGATCGGCAGAAAAAAAACGATGGAAGTCCCTTTCAACAAATGCGTCATGGCAGTGACACACAGTTTTCCAATCCCCATGAAATACTGTACTTGGTGGTTAGTAAATAGTCCGTTCTTATGGGTTACATTGTAATCATCCCCAATTGCCCAGTTGGTAAAACCCTGTATAGTCACCCATCAACGGAGGGATTTTTGAATGGCTCAAACGGCAAAAGAACATACACATTGCATCGCCGTGATGGGTGGGTTGCGGCCACCAGTGATGTTCAACTCCCCAAAACATGTGCAAATTAAAGATCACTATGGACATCTCTGAAATTACCTTGAAATTCCATGGTCGGATCAGGTTTGTTGGGGAATTACATACCCGTTTTAGATGGGATAAGTCCCCATTGTCTAAAGCCCCAAATCAATCCAAATCAGGTAAGTCCAAATGTTCATGTTTACGTGCCCAGTTTCATAGTTCACTTTCCCATATTTGGCGGTAAAAAAACCATTTCTGGTTGGTTATCCAACCAGTTGAAACCCCGAACCAGTCATCCAAAAGCACGAATTTCGGGCGCGCCTATCAGGGTCCACATCCTTAGGTCGCAGAATGGCCCAAATTCCAGGGATTTATTGAGGAATGACGCAGATGCTCCAGGGTGTGTGTGTGTGTATATATATATATTTAATTATATATATATATATATACATATGACAATAATGATAATGATATGATATAAGAATTTAATAAAAATCAAAAAATCAAAAGAAACACTTAGAAAAACTAATACATAATATACCCAAAGCCCTAAGTTCCACCAATCACAGAATATTGTTTGGATAAGTACCCGACTCGGTAGTCAAACATCGCGAGCGCTGGGAAAATGATCGAATGAAATGCTGAGGATTGTCCAGCAATTTTGTTTGGAGATTTTGGGGTATGGCTGGTATGTATGATCAAACAATGATCGGTCCTAGTAGCAAGCAACCGCAGATTTAGGCGTCATATTAGTTGTATAATGCCTTTTTTTTTGGTATGTGAGTTTGACCCATAGTCCCAACCAAATTCGGATTCCCAAACCACAAGGTACATGTGTCATTGAGCACAATGTCTACTGATTAAGTCAATCATGTTTTCTTACTTCAACTTCAACCCTCGTATCTTGTTGATTATACCCAGTACCATTCGACACAAAATCATGTGTGGTTACTATATCATGCTCTGACTGCTATTTCTGCAGCTGCAATTTCACCAGGAATGGATGGTACAAAGACCTCCAAAATTTAATTTTGAGTAATTAGTGGGCTTACCAGATTATACCTCCTTCAATGTGAGCCCCCGAGTAATAAGTTGGTTTGTAGCTTTCATTAACTATTTACATATGTGCCATAAACAATAGTAAACCTACTCCCCACCAACCGCAACCCCATCTCCATCCCCATTTGCATCCCAAGGTATAAGGTATACCCTTTTTTCCCCAATTATTGCTGCTTAAATCCACATGTTCAGTTGTTCCATCCATGATTAGATGGGATATTCCCATTAGACTATACCATGAAAACATATTCCGTTTTACAACATTTGGTGAAATGATCATCATTTGATTAGATGGAGTTGTTTTATAATGTTACATATATATATATATCTATTGTGATGTTTTGTTTTTTGTTTTCACTTATCACTACATAGCCCTGCAGCTACGGTACTTAAGAATTATAAATGAGAGTTTCTAACTCCTGCGACAAAGGTTTCCCCAGCCAGTCGCTGAAACATGATGCTTTCTGCGGTCGCCAGTCATAAAAAACGTTGACTCTGACTATGACCTATTGGATCTGATCATGAAATAAGTCTCTTCACAGTTTTTTTGGCTATATCTGGTTGGTGGTTAATATGTGCTTAATATACTGTTAATAATGGTTAATAATAATGACTGGTTGGTGGTTTCAACCTACCCCTCTGAAAAATATGAGTTCGTCAGTTGGGATGATGAAATTCCCAATATATGGAAAAATAAAAGCCATGTTCCAAACCACCAACCAATTATGTTAAGTTGTTACGGGCGCTTTTTTCTGCGATATTACTTAGCTATAGCCTCAACGCACTGTTATAACCCTTGTTGTGTTTTTACAGTTCATCCCAGTTATTCAAGGATCTCGTGACATGGGAAGCCCCAACGATCCAACGCCAAGTCTCTGGTCGTGGTGATCCAGCTTCATTGTGGACCAACGCCGGCCGGGCGTTAGCTGAGATCACCGGGAGGCTGGCAGTCCCAGGGGGGATTGGACGAGATGCAATGACACCTGTTGATGTACACTGTACACATGTATACAGTACAGTACACTTTAAGAAAATACAATACAACATAACATGATATCATATGTTTGTTTTAATATATATATATATATACATATTATAATATTGTGTGATATCATATCATATAGAAACATCTAGATATCGTAGAAATCCAAGTCTTTGTGTCAAAATGTGTTAAACTGTCAGCTTGCAATTTCAAGGAATGCTATTGATCCATGCAGTAAGGGACACATGCGATACGAGTAAGAACTTTTAGCCATCACATTTGGTGGTATCAATCCCTTTGAACACTGGAAAAACCATTGAACCATGATTAACCGGAGATCATCATTCCGAATAAATGCGGAGAATAAATAAACCGCACTTGAGAGGACCAAATAAAAATAGAAAGCCTTAAAAATAAAACTTAATATATAATTATATAGATTTAGCAAAAAACACACAAATAAGTGCCACAAAAAACTTCCTGGACGTCACATATTTACCACTGGAACAATATGACCCCTTGGGCTGAACTCTGACCCCCAGGAGTGCCAGCTGAACGTCGATGCTGTGTTGCGTTTGTCGGTGTCTGACTATGGTTGTTGGCGCAGCGATCATCTTACCACACAAAAATTCATGGTGGGTCAACAAAAGGTGAAACCACTGAAAAAACATGAAAATCTCTCGGCTCCCTGTTTGTTAGTATCTATAGGAGCATTCCAATGAGAATGTGTTACAACATGAAGGGCACTGAAATGCACTGAAGCATGACATGCTTTTGCCGTTGCCACTCATTGTGCCTTGTTTGGAGATCTTGTAATGTCTCGATGTCTTTGTTGTGTTGCTACGTTGCTGACTACTCAAACAAATGAAGAGGTCCCCGCTGACGAGATGGGCCACACAAAAAAATCCTGGAGCTTGGACAGGTCTTGGAAATTCTCATCATCTACCAATTACATCCCCGTTGTATCGGGACTATTGTTGGATTTTGTTGGCTAATATCCGCCCAAAAATCCCTGCGAATCATAATTAATCCCATACAACGTCCGATTCTGAAAGCAACTGTCTTTGATGTCAGTTGATTTCTTAGCCCAACTCGGCAATGAACGTGGCCCTCGGTGTCTGGACTGAGACCGCAACAATCCGTGGATGGGATTTGGTCGAGTGATGAAGTTTCAGCATACTTGGAAGACCATCCCACTTACAGTTACAGTTATGGCCCGAAATACCAGCTATATGTCAGTAAGTCACCCCATGTATGGAAAGCCCATGTGTATCCACTTATGACCATTTTTAAGTTGTCAAGGGCCATAACTGTATTGATGTGTTAGAAACAATAGGTCTAGCCCATTTATAAGGATAGCCCATCAAGGGGGACTCACTAAGCAGGCCCTGTTAACCAGTTAGCAAGTGGGATGATCACTGATGATCACCAGTGATTCTGCAAAACTCTGGTAGCCACAATCGGATCAGCAGAGTTACTGTAAAAGGTCTTGAATCCGTACATGTATATCATAAGTGCATATATATATATATATATCATTATATATGATGTAATAGTGTGCGAATATAGACACATAGAGTATATAGTGGCAGTGTCGCAAACATATCCTATCCTTACACATCCAATTAAGATGGCATCTATGTACACTGTAAACTCTTTGAGGATTCCAGAAAGTGGCTGCTGCGAGTGGTTGTTTGTTCAACCACGGATTGTCACCAAGTCTAAAACTCAGACACCAGTGATCACATGCTCTACCAGACGGAGGAGAGGTGTGCTAGTGAAACGCAACCTGTGACAATTGCACAGTCGCACTTGCAAAGTCAAACAAACAAATTGTCAGCAATAGAACTTCTTTACATTGGTATGGCTGCAGCTCAGTGCAGGACCAGTTGGGTTCACTTGTCACTTCTGTTAAGTTTTGTAGCAAACTCTAGCTCTAGGAAGAAGTGTTGTTTTGCACACCATGAAATATAAACAGAGCATCAATCAGTTGGATCTCCGATTAAAGCCCCATAACAACAGAGGTTTATCATGTCCTCCTCCAGTCTGCGCGAGTTTTTTTGAGCCAGAGGGGCAAGTTGCGTTGCCTTGATTTTTAACGATCCATGGCATGGCTTGATGATACAGTTAAAACCCTAAAACCCAATTATTAAATGGTCACAAATGGTTATTTCAATGGGGTCATACATTCCATAAATGGATATCAATGGGGTCACTTACTGACTTATAATATCTTATAATTGGTATTTCGGGCCAGAACTGTAGATTGAGGTGGTGCATTTTGGGGTCGAGCAGCACAGAACAGTCTCACACTCAAAACTGATTACCCTTTCGTGATCAAAGGTGGTTTGCTGGAGAAAACCTATTTATAATTATTTACCCTCTGGTAAACTAACATAACTATGGAAAATCACCATTTTAAGTTGGTAAATCCACTATTTCTATGGCCATTTTCAATAGCTATGTTAGTTTACCAGAGGGTAGTTCGATTGTCTTCCGGGATTTGCCCATGTTTGATGACTACGCTTAGGCCGTTGAGAAGCACATAAGTTTTACGGCAAGACCCCCAGATTTTCCCCTCAGTTGGTCGGAGCAGAACAACGCTCATGACCTCGATTCCTGGATCAATGTCGATCTATAATTAATCATGCTTCCAAGTATGTATGTAATATATATATATATCATTAGATAACAGTTTCTTGATTATCCATATCTGATATATATATATATGTCGTATACCCTCCGGCAATCGTGCCATTCGCTTCTAAGATTTTCCCATCCGCCAAGCTGTCCTTGGCAAAATGCGAACATCAAGGAATTCCTCGCCTTGCCGTCAGAGACATCCCAAGGATCTCCGATGCGCATAAACGCTATGGGAAAAAGACATATACTTACCGCTGGGAGTCCGATTCTGGGGTAAAATATATTTTTTCTGGGTAGTTACTTGAAGGGTCTAGGTATATAATCATATGTATATCCAAGTCATTAGACCATGGCTTAGTATTGAAACCCATGGTGACTTGGGGATCCCCCAGTCCAAGAAACCCTCATATTTCAGAATTTTAGATTTCATGCTTCGGATTTTCCATGGAATAAACCATCCAGCTATTGGGTACCCCCATGACTATGGAATCATGTTGGATTTCCTATTGGGAATATATTATAATATAAAATAATATGTATAATAAAAAAAATATTTTAATATAATTATATAATATTATACATTATATAATATGATATATATATATATACTATAATATGATACATAATAATATGTATATACAGTTAATATATATATATATTATATTTAATAAATAATAAAATACATATATAAATAATATAATATATATAATAATAATATATAGATATATATAATAATATATATAGTATATATAATATAACATATATAATATAAATAATATAATAATATATATAATATTGAAAATATAGAATATATAAAATATATAATATATATAATATATAAAATAGAAAATAATATATATATTATAATAATAATATATATTATTTTATTAAATATATATATATATGTGATATAATATAATATAATTTAATTTAATACAATACAAAATACCATAATGTAATAATGTAATATAATATGGTATTATATAATATACTATAATTTAATATAATATAATACATTAAAAAAAATAAAATAATATATGGGGATGGGTCAAAACCTATGAAATTACCAGATTTTGAGGAATTGACCATCCATGATCATCCTATGCCAGCTGAGTCGCCACTCGATCTACTTGGACAAGCGCCGAGGCTGCCGAGGCCAATAAGCAAACGCTGGGCCGCCACCTGGGATAAACATGGGCGTTGGGAGTATGGATGGAATATCATATATGGATTATATAATAATGGTTAATATAGTTATATATATATATATTGTTATATAATGCTGCTGATAAGGTTTTAATGGAAATCATGATATATGGAATAATCAATATCAATGGAAATAATATGGATCAATATGTTTCATAATGGATTAATATGGTTACATAATGAGTTAGAATGGACATGCTGGTAATGTAATGGTTAATGGCAATGTAATTGTTAGTAATGGTTTTTATAATGGTTGATTTTGTGGTCGATAATGGTGGTTAGAGCCAACGATAATGGGTTAATCATCAACTTTGGGAATATACCCTAGGATAAACGCTTACATAGATGTGGGAAAACATGGGGAAACCCTAGGAACATGATCTACACTCGTGGTGGCTTTTTCCAGATATATTCGATGGTTAACAGAATGGATAGCGTCGATGCAAAAATTGGTTTCCCAATGTCTAATGGTCCACTAAAACGTGAAAAAGTTGATGTTTTGAAGTCAAGAAAAATGCTTGTTCTCACTGATCTGTAGATTACTGCTTGATGGTTTGAACCATCTTGAAACATATTAGTCAATGGGAAGGATTATCCCATATATTATGGAAAATAAAAAATGTTCCAAACCACCAACCAGATTAATTGCGTGTGGGACTGAAGGGGATGTCCACTTCTGCTGTTTATGATTACCAACAGGTTTATGATAATAATTGATAAATATTGATAATATATGCAGCGATTTAACGAGCCATGAAGCTACAGTTGGTTTTATTTTTAGGAACCCGCTAATCCAACTTGGGATATAGACCATATGATCCATATGACAGGTGTTTCAACCATTTCTTTTAGCATTCATGACGATGTAAACGGAATCAACAAAAGTTGTTTATCGTTCGTGATCTGATCTGGGACTTCTTTTTAACTAACAATTTGGGCACAACTCATCTTAGACTTACGCATACTCACAGCTGTACGCAGTGCATTCCTGTCAAGGTGTCCCGACACTTTGAAAAACATGGGAAATTGCCAAGGATTGTCTGATCCATTTATATCACTCAATTGAGACCTTTATTTCAGCAAAAATGTTGCCCGTTTGTATGTAGGTCTTTAGGATCCTCACGGTTTCCTAGTTG